GAAAGAGTGGGCAGATCCCTCTTCCAGCACAGTAGGCTGGGAAAAATACTCTGAGTCATTGTGTGAAATTAGAGGCTTGGCAATGAAAAACAACTACTGAAAACTTGAAGGAAAAACAAGCTTAAACACCAGAGTAACTAAAATAAACTAGTCTGCTTTTCAGATGGGCTTGTTTTGCCTTTGAAATTCAAAATTCCCTTAGGAAAAACCCCAAAACCAAACCCAGATCAAACTGCTCTTGCACAGTCCGGCCTCAGGATCTATGTTTCCATCTGTTCTTGGAGCTGACAGAGTAGGATTTTTTTGAATCCCCAGTTTTGCCATCCTCCTGCTCTCCTGAGGGACCCAAAGTCCTGCCCTGCTCTTCTATGATGAAGGTGTTTTGATCCCTCCTTTCCAGTAAACAAAGGTGTTGTCTACAGTTTGTCAGGATACAAGGAAAGGGAGATGTTCCTTCCTACATTTGTGCTGATGACATTGCTATTTGCTCTTATTTTTGAATGTCTTCTAGTCTTTACAGTTATGATATATATGATTATGAGACTAATTTTTTCTAGGCAATCTCACTGAAACAAATTTTCAGTTTAATGATATGTTGTTTCAAAGATTTCTTTCTGTCAAATTTCAGGCAGGATGTGTGGGATCAATACTGTTGTTTTTGTTTAATATGCAGGACGGATGATTTAGTTTCTTGAGGGCATAGTTTGGTTTATGTAAGTGCATTCCTCTCCCACATAAAGCAGAGTGACACAAGGCTAAATCAGAAGTGGATAAATTGCAATGTTGGAAATTCAAAGCTTAGTCATATAAGACTGTATTATAACTCATGCCCTGAAGGAGGCCACACTGAGATTCCAGAGACAGTCTGAGGGCAAACATTTCCTGACCCTTGGATGCTTGATTTGGTAAACTCAAATTTCTTTAATTTCTTTTAATGTTTTTAAGTTTGACAGGGTGTTTCTTTTAATTTGTTTGGGGTTTTTTTGTTTTATTTTTAAGGGAACAAACTATCCCACATCCTCTCCTGAGACATCTGCCTCTTCTTCCCTTTTTCACACTTTCCTCTGGCTTCTTTGCCTGCAGCTCTCAACTCTTTCCTAGTTCCTTGCCAAAGCCATTTTCCCTTCTCATGCACTCTGGTTCCTCATGTCTCCTCACTCAATGCTTTCTTTTGGTCCCTGTGACCTCCTTGCTCCTCCACACACTCCACCATTGGGAAGAGGCTGACAGAGGCACTAGCAGGTGATTTCTTCCCTTCCCTCATACTTTTCTTCCGTTTCTTGGCTCCCAGTCTCCAGTCAGATATTTCTCTGTTCACCATTAACCTTTCATACTTTTCTTCCGTTTCTTGGCTCCCGGTCTCCAGTCAGATATTTCTCTGCTCACCATTAACCTTCAGCCACAGCTTCATTTCCCCAGGCACAGGCAATTTTGGAGGGTTTAAGCATCTCTGTGAGGATCTGGTTACTGAAAGCTCCACACATCTGGACCTTGACCAGATTGCTTCCTTCCACGTAAGAGTCAATATTTTTACTTGGTTTGGTATGATTTCACAGGGATGGCAAACAGCTCTCTGCCCAGGAAGATGACTCTGGCAGGCTAGAAACCCATGTGGCTACAGATCTCTGAAAATGCTTATGTCTTTATTTTTAGCATTTTCAGAAGACTTTTCCTCTAGTTTCAGTTTTAGAAATTGATCATCTTGGTTTGGATTGGGTGTGTTTTCTCTCGTCGTTGTTAAAGGAGGAATCTGATATGAGAACTGTCTATATTTAAAGCTTGTAAAGTTGAAATGGCTTGTCAAAATGTTTTGATATTGCAAATGTATATCCAGGCTGTATTATTCCTTGAGAAGGATTTCAGTGAATCCTAAATGTCACTTTATTACCCTAGTGCTAGCAGGACTGTATTGTAAACTATGACCAGGCAAGCCCTGAACAGGTAACAAAAAGAGTCTTTGCCCTAGAGAAATTATAGTTAAAATATAAAATGTCTTTATTCAAAGCAGACAGATGAAAAGAACCAGTTAAATTGTACTTGCAAGCTCTTAGGGATCTTGCCTATAAAAGATTGGTATTGCACCACAGAAGTTTTTTCATGATCAATGCTTGACAATATCTATTGGGAGTGTAAGAAGTAACATGAGAGAAGGTGAAAATGTTACTTATTCAAAAGTACAATCCATGGGCAGTGGAGCCTGGCACTACCAGCTGAATGACTACCAGAGCTGACATCTCAGCACTGATTGAAAGATGGTTGATGGAGAGTCCTTAAAGGGCATAGAAGGAAACTTCAGTTATTGACCACAAGAGGAAGAGTGAGTGGAGGGATGCACATCATTAAAAAATCTCCCCTTGTGCTGGGGCAGAATGGACTCATTGATATCATCCCCAGAATGGCTGTCTACAGTGACCTCAGAGCCGCCACTGCTGCTGCTCTGGATTCTCTCCCAGGCAGCCTGCCACTAGCTTTACCAGGAGAAGCTATTTATTGATGCTTATTCTGAGCCTCCCCTGCTGCAATTTAAATTTATATCCTGCTGTCATATATAC